CACCTGCAGGCATTTACCCACCACCCGCTCGGTTCCCTCCTCAAATGCCACTTTTATCCCCTGTGCCTCTGCAGCTACTCAGATCTCCCGTCTTCCAAGTGCCCAGGAGATATGCCCCATGGACATTTTGAGTTTCCCAAATATTTCCATTTTTAATACTGGTGTTTAGACTTTCGCGCTGACGCATAAACATTTTTGAGTGCTTACTCCAGAGGTGGAATTTTGATCCGTGTCTGGAGACTTCTGCAGGCCTTTATGTCGAGGAAACAAACTGAAATCGATCTAATTGCACCGCGTAGGCCATTTTCTATAAGAGAAAATTGAGAATTACACATGTTCACTGCAATAAGCAATGAACTCGATTTGGAACTGGTGAGGACAGACACTCCAGAATGACGAGGACACGAACTCTTTCAGAAGACTCAAGGAAACCGTTTCCTCCTACAAAGGACACCCACCTACTGTAGTTTATTTAAATTACCCAAATGCCGCGTTTTAAATGTTTCTGCTTTGAAACAAATGTTATTTGTGTAGCGGCCAGAGTCCAACATCGCTGGATAGAAAGTATCTCACATCTTCGTTTGCGACGCTCACTTACCCCCTGCTTATTTCCAGTGCGGGTTTCACTGCAAATCTGTCTTCTGATTTGCTTTACTCCCACGCCTCGGATCGGAATCGAGAGGCCCCGGCCATCCACTGGCTAATCACGGGGGAAATGTTCATCTTTTCTCGTGTATTTTTTGCAGTTCAGGAAAATGAAGCAATGTGTCTCTTCTCCTCTCACCGCGACTTTCAAGGACACTTCCCGCCGTTGCCGGCCGACGTGAGCGGAAACAGCTCTCCACGCCACCACCGATGACCCCGGGGGCTTTCGGCGATAGACATCTCCAGGCCAGCAAACCTAATGCCAGCCCCGGCGAGAAGCAGACTTCGAGACCGCCGTGGCCACAGGCAGGTCGAGGGAAAACGAGACGCGGAACCGGCTCTCGGGGCTCTGTTTAATGTCAAGTTGGTCATCGTCGTCAGTACCGTCCACTTGGGGTCTGAGAAATCTGTGTTACCCAATCTGGAGAGGCAGGTGCTGTGCGCAACGCGCTTCCACTTCGTCCCCGAAGGTCCACCCGGCGCGGAGGACGCACACCCGGTGCTGTGCTCACTGAGGCCAGTTTGGCCTCGGTCTTCCTCCCCCCTTCCCGCCCCTCCTACTAACGCAGTCACTCTCAGCGAGCGTTGGTGGCTCTGTCACGAGCGTTGGTGGCTCTGTCACGCAGTCCCGTTTCCAGCGAGCTCTTTCACTGTTTGGTTTGCCGTTCCCTGATCTGGCCCAGGCTTGCCTCCTTGCCTTTCCCTGAAGCTAGTCCCGTCTCATTTAATCAGCTTCCTTCTTATTTTTAAGTGTGGTGCAGTGGGATCTCTGTGTGTATGTTGGGGGGAGAGGGGGTGACACTATAACCTGTCTCAAGAAGCGCGTTCGTAGTCTGAGCTGCTTTTTAAGAAAGTACATTTAAAAAGATAATGAAGAGACTCGGTTTGACTTTGATTTCGAACCACAGGAGTCACGTCTCACGGGCACCGTGCTCTTTAAAACACAGCGAAAGCACGCGTGGGTCCTGAGCTGAGCTGGGGCGCACGCGGGAGTGAGAGAGGACTCAACAAGCCCTAGGCGCGGGCTTTGGAGGGAAGACCCAGGATGGCGGCCCCGTGACTCCCGCGGGTGGCTAGTGGGTGCTAGCGCGGCCCCTCGGGATATGCCACCTGTGTTTTTTGACCCGGCTACTTCCCACCGGAACCGACGCGCGCACCTGCGGTAGCCAAGTCAGACTTTCATCACTCTTTGTTTCACCTGAAGACCTGGATATACTTGGGGCCCGGGAGCACCCTGGCTTGGTGCATATTTTGTTTGCACTCAAGTAAAACTCCCCGAAACGGTCTCACCAGAAAAATCAAAGGAACGCAGGATACATGAAATTGGGCGCTGTCTCTCCTAGGAAGGCCTTGTCACAGAACCCCTGCGAATTCTCCTAGCCCAGGGCGTTGGGTTCACGGCCCAGGTGGCGTGCAGCTCCAGAGTACTCGCCAGCCATCCTCCCTGCCGCCAACCCCCAGCTCCTAGAGAGGCAGGCAACCCCTCGTGCTCCTCTTTGACTCACACTTTTGGCACAGAGCTCGCCTCTTTTCCTTCCTTGGGAAGCCACAACAGCCAGGTCCCGAGGCAGCTCAGGGACCCTCCCCTGAATGCATCGGTCCCCGGCGGACGGGTTCCGTCCCGGGCTCCTGTGCGCCCCTGAAAGCGGCTCTTCATTTTGTTGCGCGCTGCGCCGGGAGCGCGCGAAACAGCGGTGCCAAACCCAGCCAAGCCAAAACGCGGGACCCGCGATTTATTTACCTCTGCACGCTCAGTACCTGCTTGCCGCCGTCTTCGGGCCATGGCGAGGGCCAAACCGCATCCCGGGGAGGGGGGAGAGACGCTGCTTTTCCTTCTGCAATCCTATCTTAGGGTCACCTCTTCCCGAGTCTAGCCCGCCGCGCGGGAACCCGCGAAGCCCGGCCCGGGGCCGACAGGGGGCGACAAACCGTAAGGCTCTCCCAGGGCCAGGTTGTGCGCAGGGCGGCGGCGAGCGCTGTGTGGTCCCGATCGCGCGCCGCTGGCTTCTGGGAAGGGGCTGGGGCCGAGACGAGGGCCCACGGGCTCCCCTGACCCAGAGACGCCCCCACCTCCCAACTTTCTCGGCCGCACTCCCCCCCAGCCGCGGGCGCCTTCTCGAGGATGGGGCGGGGTTCCGTCCCGGACTGTGCCTTCTCGCTGGTTCTCCGCGCCCTGCGGATAGGGTGGGGTGGCTGTTTTCCCTGAAGGGTCGTCGGGGCGCACCGGCTTTATTTGCGCCTCTCTGAGTGTGCTGTCGACTTCTCCTCCCTAAAGGAGAAAGAGAAATGGCGTCCAGTACTTTTCCGAATCACCGGGATGCCCGGGTTGAGGCACGGATGCGTTTCTTCATCTCAGATACTCCAAGGTCTAGGAATCAGTTTTGCTGGGTATCTCGCACCTGACTAGAGATCAGAGGCTAACAGATTCCCAGACATCTGGAAAGAGCCGCGCAGGGCGCGTCCCCGTCCCCTAGTCTCGGAGCGCCGGGCCTCCGGAGCGTGTCAGTCCTGCTCGGCATCTGAGTGTAACTCTTGGTTCAGGTATGCCCACCCTAACCCTTCCCCGCTCCTTACCCCGACTCTGCAGTGTCGTGGACTGGCCTGGCTTCCCTAAAATGTCCCCCGCGTTCACTCCCGCACCCACTCGCCATTGCATTGACCCTGGTCTGAGCCAGATCTAGGCGGCATCCCCGAGGCCCCACTAGCCAGAGACTGTACTGCGCTCCCCGTGCCGCTGGAAGGAGTCTTCACTTCTTTTGAAACCAGTTTTTCTTTTTCCAGGGGTAATTCTTTCCTGTCGCCAGGGCCTGAGTCCTGTTGGGCCCTATGAGCTCTTTGTAGAGAGTTCAGAACTTATGGCTTAGGCCCTCCTAACTGACGCTTTGTGGCAGAGGTTAACCAGGAGCCAGCGATGCTCCCTGGCCCCACAGCGGAGGGCGGGGGTCAGGGTCTCGGTAACCCCGGCTCCCGTGCTGCGCGAACCGGGACCATCTGAGCCGCATCACCCGACCGGCGCCGCACGCAGTTCTGGGCCGCTCAGGGGAACTAGACCCTTGCGGAAGGGTATGTGTGGGCCTTTCTTGCCCCCTGAGGAGGGCTGTGAGCGCTGGACGGTGGGGTCCCGGGAACCAGAACTGTCCCTAGGGGCCCTCCTAGCCTCACTTTCAGCTCCAACACTTGTTGGTCCCAACCTCAGACCCCTCAGATCTCGGCCTCCTCAGGCCAGTCCAGGAGCAAAACCACACGCTTTCCCTCCACTACCTCTGTCCTGGCCCTCACCGTGGGGTTCCTTCCCGGACTGCCACGCTAGCAACAAAGGTTGAGAAGTCTAGAACTGTGAGTTGATGTAGGGGCAGACACACAGAAAAGAGCTGGTGTGTAATGCCGAGGCCAAACATCCAGGGCTGCACAAACACCCACTTACATGGAGAAAGGACCCTTCTGTGGCTTAACAGAGACTTCCTGGAGGCTGCAGTGCAGGCCAGGCCGGCCCGGATGGAGTGGCAGGGTCCACGCTAGGGAGAAGGGGAACCAGAGTTGGAGTCATGCACTCGACCTTCCGACCTTGCCAGGATGCGCCTGGGGTCCAGAGGGGTGTATCTGTGCTAATGAGGCAGCAGTTGCAAGCACTTCCCCGCCTGCACCCGCTGTCAGCTTTTGGAGAGGAATGGGTTCTGGTGGGTGCACCCGGTTGCAGGACGCAAAATCTATGCTGTGCCCCTGCCGCACCGAAGTCACCCACTACTCCAAGGGGGTGGGCAACCACCAAACATTGTCTCAAGGGCAGGATTGGGACCCTGGCCGGGAAAGGGGGGGGGACGAACTAAGGTACTGACCCTGCTCTTAGGGGCACCTCTGTCAGGGAGGGGACCTTGGAGCAGACACACCCTGAGCACCTTGCCATGATCAACTTGTATTCTCTGTCTAGTAAGTAATGGCGGTGAGGTGGTAATAAAACCAAAACCAAAACGAAAACTATTGTTCATATTGATACACTCATCACTTTGAAGTGACTTCCCCATCATTCCCAACGCCCGGGGAGGGAAGGGCTGAGAAGGTCCCTGCCAGGCTGCGTTGGGCCGTGTGTGTGTGTGTGTGTGTGTGTGTGTGTGTGTGTGTGTGTGTGTGTGTGTAGGGGTGGGTTCCGGAGGGGATGGAGGAGGGCCGAGGGGGGAGGACAGGAGGAGGGTGCAGAGTTTCAGGGCGGAGAGGGGGGCGCCGGGGTGCGGTGACGGGAACCAATGAGCTGCCAACTCGCACGTCTCCGGCGTGACTGCGGAGATTGACGTGGAGGACACGTCAAATTGATTCCCGCACGCTGCAGCCTCCCGGTCAGACGAATTTCTCCCAATCGGATGAAGTTCACCCTGGGCCTGGGGTCGCGGGCGTGGAGCGTGTCCTGGGAGCGGGCGGCAGCGGCGGCAGCAGGCTC